CTAAGATCCCACCACGTATGGTCCCAGTTCTCCTAAGATCCCACCACGTATGGTCCCAGTTCTCCTAAGATCCCACCACTTATGGTCCCAGTTCTCCTAAGATCCCACCACGTATGGTCCCAGTTCTCCTAAGATCCCACCACGTATGGTCCCGGTTCACCCAAGATCCCGCTGTTTTGGACAAACTGCATTTCTACTATATAAAAGTCACCCCTAAGATCCTGCTCTGATCCGCACTGAAGGAGCTACGCTCGGCTGAGGTCCCACTTTTCAGGTCATAATTTAGTTGTTTTTTTCTTTATTTAGTTAAGAAAAAAAAAAGAATAAGAAACCTGGCCGCGCTCAGCTGATCTACCCAGTAGGGAAAATGTGCGATCATTGTACAGTCCGTCGCGCCACGCATCATCCAGACTCATGAATGCGATCACATCTTTGATGTAAATGTCGTTAAGTGGTCACACTGTTTGCCCCAGACAGGATCGCACCAAGGTGGAAACTCATGGGCGCGTTCCTTTCCCCGATCACCTGAGCCATCGGCCTGATCTTACATCACACACTGGGTGGGGAGGGCCTACAAGCAAGCATCAGTATGATCAGACTGCATTCCATCAAACTGTGAACTCATGGCTGGATGCTTACATTTCCCCAACCATTGCTTTCGTATTTCAGTTTTGTGCTCAAACTTCCTGGACAGACTGGCGCCCGTACTCGTGAACTGTCCAACTGCCTTTGCGTAATGGGGTCATCTGTTGGCCGTGAATCTGCCTTTCTTTTTAAAAAAATTAGTTGGTGTGGTCACAACACAACGATTTATGATGCATCATGACATGGGCGAGGAACTCCGTAAAGGATGGAAAGCAATCAATTTTTGGTGGGGGGGGGCATTGCCTGAAGCTAACTGGTTCCCATCTGACACAGTATTTTTTAAAAAGCCCCACCCGCCTCCCTCAAACAAAAAAATAAAAAAGGAAACACTGACTTGTGAAAAGAACTTTTAGTGCCCAGAAGTCACGTCAGCGGAGATCGCTGTACAGATTTTGGGCCTGACCATGAGTTGCTGTGGATTCTTCATCTGGCCATTCGGCTAAGATCCCGGTTCGCTTAAGATCCCGGTTCGCTTAAGATCCCGCATTTTCCTTGCTCCCGAGCACTGGGATCTTAGTCGGAGACTACTGTAATAATAATAA